TGGCTTCTTCGGACTCGTTTGCTGCTGCTGCTGCTGCTGCTGCTGCTGCTGCTTCTGCTTCGTCTTCGCTGAAAAGAAGCAAAAAAAAGAATTCAAAATAAACAAGTTATTGAATAATTGTTTTATTAGTTTTAATTAACTGTTTGATTATTTAGTTATATAATTGATTGTTTAATTAATTGGTTAGTTAATTGGTTAGTAAATTATTTGATTGTTTAATTAATTAACTGCTAAATTAATTGTTTAATAAATTGTTTTATTAATTGTTTAGTGAATTGTCTAATTAATTGTTTAATTAATTGTTTAATTAACTGTTTAATTAATTGTTTAATTAATTGTTTAACTAATTGTTTAATTAATTATTTAAGAAATTGTTTAATTAGTTGTTTGATTGTTTAATTAGTTGCTTAATTGTTTAATTAATTGTTAAAGAATTGTTTAATTAGTTGTTTAATTAATTGATTAATTAATTGTTTAATTAATTGTTCAATTAATTGTTTTAATTGATTATTTAAATAACAGTTAATTGATTCACTTAACTAACTAATTATTTACCTACTTAATTAATTAATTCAAATAACTAACTAACTAATTAAATTAACAAATTAACTAATTAAAATAACTAGTTACTTAATTAAATAATAAACCAATTAACGAATAAACTAGTAAACTAATTTAATTAATTAACTAATTAATTAATTAATTAATTAATCAATTAATTAACTAATTAACTAGTTTATTAACTAACTAATTAATTAACTAATTAATTAACTAACCAATTAATTAATTAACTAATTAACTAATAAACTAATTAAATAAACTAATTAATTAACTAACTAATTAATTAACTAACCAATTAATTAATTAATTAATTAATTAACTAATAAACCAATCAAATTAACTGATTAACAAACTAATTAATTAACTAATTAATTAATTAAATTAACTAATTAACTAACTAATTAATTAATTAATTAATTAATTAATTATTTAATTTAATTAATTAATTAATTAATTAATTAATTAATTAAATTAAATAATTAATTAATTAATTAATTAATTAATTAATTGATTAATTAATTAATTACTTAATTAACTTACGAGTCCTCAGGGAGCGGGCAAGGGTCTTTGACTTTTTCGACTTTGAAAATTTCAAAGTCGCCGGCGCCCGGAAGGTGCAAAAGGCCGTTGGCCCGCAGCGCAGCGCCTCGCACATAGCCGTAGAAGACACACATTTCCTGCTGCTGCTGCTGCTGCTGCTGCTGCTGCTGCTGCTGCTGCTGCTGCTGCTGCTGCTGCTGCTGCTGCTGCTGCTGCTGCTGCTGCTGCTGCTGCTGCTGCTGCTGCTGCTGCTGCTGCTGCTGCTGCTGCTGCTGCTGCGGCTGCTGCGGCTGCTGCTGGCTGGGGGGCTGCTGGGGGGGCTGCGGTTGCTGCTCCGGGTTGGGCTGCACGCCGCCGCCGCTGCTGCTGCTGCTGCTGCCGCTGCTGCTGCTGCTGCTGCTGCTGCTGCTGCTGCTGCTGCAGGGCGTTTCTGCTGCTGCTTTGAGGGCGAAGACGTAGGGGTGGGAGTTTCTCCAAGAAAGGGTTTTGGGTTTGGCGAGAGAAAGAAACCTCGCGAGGGTTTTTAAGGGTTTGGACTTGTACTTGTGGTTTAGAAAACCCTCGAGGGCGAAAACCCTAGCCCCCCCGCAAACCTCCCTCCTAAACCGCTCTTTTAGGGTTTTCTTCCGCTGCTGCTGCTGCTGCTGCTGCAGCAAATCCAAGTGCGTCAAAACCCCCAAAACCCTCGGAAACCCGTGCGTCTGCAGCATGTTCAAAAACTCAAAAGTCTCCATTTCAAACCTGCACGCAAACTCAAACCCTAAACCCTAAACCCTAAACCCTAAACCCTAAACCCTAAACCCAAACCTCCAAACTGCTCTCTCCCTCAACCCCACCCCCAACCCCACCCATTAACCCCCAAAACCCTAAACCCCAAACCCTAAACCCTAAACCCTAAACCCTGAACCCCAAACCCCAAACCCTAAACCCCAAACCCTAAACCCTAAACCCTAAACCCTAAACCCTAAACCCTAAACCCTAAACCCTGACCCCTGGCTGGCGTCCACGAGGAGCACCGCGATGTCTGCGACTTTGGCTGCGTCCAGCATGGCAGCAAAGTTATTTGGAACTTCGAAAAAAGTAATTCTCCGAAGTTTGGAGACAGTTAAGGAGACAGGGCCTTCGGGTGTACGTACACTGCGTCCGGTGTACGCACGCAGCAGCCCCCGCAGCAAACACGACTTCCCCACCTGCAAAACACACCCCACAACACGCTCCTGCTGCTGCTGCTGCTGCTGCTGCTGCTGCTGCTGCTGCTGCTGCTGCTGCTGCTGCTGCTGCTGCTGCTGTTCTGCTGCTGGCTGCTGCTGCTGCTGCTGCTGCTGCTGCTGCTGCTGCTGCTGCTGCTGCTGCTGCTGCTGTTGCTGTTGTTGCTGCTGCTGCGGGTTTGGAGGCGCTTTGCTGCTGCGGGAGGGGGCACTTTGAAGATGCAAGAGGGAGAGACACTTTGCTGCTGCTGCTTAAAGGAGACACTTTGCTGCTGCTGCTGCTGCTGCTGCTGCTGCTGCTGCTGCTGTTGCTGCTAAGGGGCACCAAGGGCCAATCAGGAGACAAAAAGGAGAAAAAAACAAATTTAAAAAAACAAAATAAAAAGCAAATTAAAAAACAAAAAATAAACAAAAAAAGAGAAACAAAAAGGAGACAAAAAGGAGACAAAAAAGAGAGAATAAAAGCAGCAAAAAGGAGACAAACAGCAAATAAAAAGCAAATAAAAAGCAAATAAAAAGCAAATAAAAAGCAACTAAAAGGGGAATTAAAAAGGAGACAAAAAGGGCCCCCAAAAGGGTTCAAAAGGGCCCCGTTGGGGGCCCCACGTACCCCGGGGGGCCCCTGAATGGCCACGTTCAGAGGGGGGGCCCCTTTGAAGGTTTTGTCAATTTGAAACTTCTGCTGTCTCTTTTCCTGCTGCTCCAGGGCCTGCTGCAGCCTGCGGTGTACAGACACCGGGCCCCCACTGAAGGTGAAGGCCTTCGGATTGTGTCTCTCCAGCTGGTCCCCTTTTCGGGCCTTTTTCCGGGTCTTGGGGGCCCCCGGGGGGCCCCCGGGGGCCCCCGGGGGGCCCCCCGGGGGCCCCCCGGGGGGCCCCCCGGGGGGCCCCTCGGGGGGCCCCCCGGGGGGGCCCCCCAGCAGCTTCTGCTGCTTCAGCCGCCGCCGCAAAGCCTTGCGGCCAGACTGGGGGGCCTTGTGGGCCCTGTGGGGAAGATCTGCTTCCATTTGGAGACAGTTTGGAGACACTTTTGAGGGGCGAAGGAGGGTTCAGGGGCCCCTGCTGCTGCTGCTGCTGCTGCTGCTGCTGCTGCTGCTGCTGCTGCTGCTGCTGCTGCTGGGGCGCGGGCGACTTGGCATTATTGGACTTTGCTGCTGCTCGGGCGGTTTGCTGCAGTTAAAAGGACTTTTAAATTAATTAAAAGTATTTATTTAATGAAAGAACTTCTTCGATTATTCGCCGCGAGGAAAAGGAAGAAAACGCGGGGGGCCCCGCGGCGGGGTCTGCAGTGTACGTACAGCTGCTGCTGCTGCTGCTGCTGCTGCTGCTGCTGCTGCTGCTGCTGCCCGCGGCTTCTGCGGACGCCGAAAAGGAAATTTGGGAATTAAATTCGAATTTAAATTAAAAAAGAGAAACAAAGGGAGGAAAGAAAGGAAGAAAGGCGCAGCAGGAAGCCCCGCAGCAGCCCCACGCGGCGGCTGCATGCGGCGGCGTGCGGCGGCGGCGCGCGGCGGCCGTTTGGCGGCTTTTCGCGGCGCTTTTTCCTTCTTTTTCCGCCCCTTTGCAATTAAACGAAAAGTTCTTTTCATTTAACTCTTCAGCGCGCAAAAAGAACTGAAAATAAGCCTCAAACGGCGGAGAACGGCTCGCGGCGGCGGGCGTGCTGCGGTGCCTGCGGTGTACAGACAGCTCGTCGCAGCGGCTAGCCGTCGCCGCCTTTGCTTCTTTTTCTTTCCTTTTCTTTCTTTCTTCATTTAAATTTAATTCCTTTTATTCTTTTATTCTTTTATTCTTTCTCTTTTACTCTTTTTTCTTTTTCCGCGCGCCAGCGGCTGTCTGGACACCCGAGCTGCCTGTACACCCCAGCGGCAGCTTCGCTCCTTCCGCCCGCCCTTTCGCGCATGCACACAAGTCCCAATTCAAGGAGCAGCAGCAGCAGCAGCAGCAGCAGCAGCAGCAGCAGCAGCAGCAGCAGCAGCAGCAGCGGCAGGAGGTGCAGGAGTATCGGCAGCAGCGGGAGCGGCGGCAGCGGTAGCCCCAGCTGCTGCTGCTGCTGCTGCGTCGCAGCAGCAGCAGCAGCAGCGGAGGAAAAGGAGACAGGTGACCACTGGTCAGGAGGAGACAGGTGACCACTGGTCAAGGGGCCTTCCTTTAGAGGACTGCAGCAGCAGCAAAACTCCCAAAGAGCCGCAGCAGCAGCAAACAAAACCCCAGCAGCAGCAAAGCCCGAAGGGGACTTCCAAGGGCCCAAAGCAGCAGCCAAGCCCCTCAAAAAACTCCCAAAAGAACAAAAAGAATAAAAAAGAATAAAAAGAATAAAAAATATAATAAAAGGAATTAAAAAGAATAAAAAAGAATAAAAAAATAAAAAGAAATAAACAAAAATGGCCCCCGCAGGCCTTTCTGCCTTCCGCCGAGGGGCCTCCTACGACCTCCACAAAAAGGGTACTGAGGGGGGCCCCCCGGGCCCCTTCCCGCCCGCGCTTGGGGGGCCCCCCGGGGCCCCCCTGGGGCTGTGGGGCCCCGTTTTTTGCGGGGCGTTCGGGTGTACGTACACCCGAGGGCGGGGAGGACTTTGTGTGCACTTCTTCGGGGACTTTGGTGAGCAAAAAGTGTCTCCTTAGAGACCCGAAAAACATTGCTGTTGGCTGCTGCTGCGTGCTGCAGCAGGGGGCGCTGCTGCGGGGGGACTTGGCGGCCATTAAGCTGGGCAAGTTCGTCTGGGTGGGCCGCGACACCGTGCTCGAGCCCTGCTGCTGCCGCAGCAGCAGCAGCAGCAGCAGCAGCAGCAGCAGCAGCAGCAGCAGCGGGCCGCAGCACGTGGCGCTGAGCGTGGGGGACAGCAGCAGCATCGGGGCGAACTGCGTAGTAAGAGCAGCAGCAATAGGGTCTTTTGTGGAAGTTGGAGACAATTGTTTTGTCGGAAAAAGATCCATTTTAAAAGACAATTGCAAACTCTTAAAAGGGACAGTTCTTCCCGGAGACACTTTAGTCCCTTCTTTCTCCGTCTGGGCCGGCAGCCCGGCTTGCTGCTTGGGGGCGCTGCCTGAGGGCTGGCAGCAGCAGCAGCAGCGAGCTGCTGCTGCCAGGTACCGCCGCCTACTCGCCTGCAGCAGCAGCAGCAGCAGCAGCAGCAGCAGCAGCAGCAGCAGCAGCACGCCC